CCCCCAAACCCCCCTGCAAATTACGCCAACGCCTCAAAGATCAGTCTTTGTCATCTGGTCACAGCATCTCCTCAAATGTGTTCCCTTTAAATGTTTATTAAAAGCGCAGATGTGAATGAGTGCAGACTGTGACAAACGTGCTTCACGGGGAGCTGAGGAAACAGGAGCATTCAGGATAAGACGTGTTTGTACCAGATACCATCTACTGGATCCTCCAGGGACGTGTGGGTGGTCAAGGCTAACGGTTAACCAACACTTCACTGCGTCTTTAATAACGCCTCGCAATAACTGTGTCGTGTTTTGGAACTTGTTGCACAACCGGGAACTCCTTCCTGTTCTTTCCGATGGCATTTAAATCCCTTCCAAAACCACTGTTGATTGATATTGCCGAGGCCTTGTTACCATGGAGGCAAGGCGGCACAACAACGTCACCAGATTGYTCTCCCACAGTTGGCATCTATAAGGTCAGCTTTGTTGAACAATGMGCTTAATAAATAAAGCATTTTTCCAATACATTTTTTCAGAAACAAAATCCTTTTTTATTATTTTTTTTATCAAACTCAAAAAGAGCAGTATTCACCTTTTTATTCTACACTCCAAACACCAGACAGAGTTCAAAGGTTAAAGCTGAAGCTGATCCCTTATCAGATMAAACTAGACCTTCTTATCATTTAACCTTCAAAACAAAACTCTGGCTTTCAGCTTAGATGTAACAGTAAAATATAAAACAGGCACAAACAGATATGTGGGTTTTTATGTTCTCACAGAKGAGATGGGTCTCCTGTTCCAGAAAAAGATTTCCAAACTCGTTGATTTCCTAATTGTAACCACACATTTACTAATAATGATTCAGGCTCCTAATGTCAGGGGCGGTTCTAGGGGCGGGGCCACAGGGTCACTGGCCCCATCTGAAATCTGATTGGCCCACTGAGAGGCCCCTGTCCTGTCACTCATCTGCCCTTGCCCAAAAACAATGATGGTGGCTGCAGTTCCACTTCCAACCACCTAGTGATGCCAGTGAGTCAAATAGGAAAGTTCAACATGAAGCAAGTTTACAGACGTTTTTTTTTATTTGAGCAATCCTGCAGAAATAAAAGGGTTTTATTGACAACGATGGCTAGATTTTCTCACGTTGTGTGTTTGAGAGTATTTTACTTATGTACAGTAAAAAATCATGTAAAACTGATGAGGAAATTTTACTGTGCAAGCTTTTACAAGTGTTTGACTGATTAAATGTATAAACCTTACAAAAGCTGAGGATTTGTGTGCAAGGATGTTGAACAAATACKTRGCATCTCTATGAAYAGTGTGRCCCCTTGATGTCCCCTTACACTGAAAAATCCTAGATCCGSCACYGCCTAACGTGCCCACTTAATGTGAAATTAGATTTTTGCCCAAACGCACACATTAAAAACAAAGTGG